TCCTTTAGGGAAAGAGGGAATTCAGTCTCCAAACTTTTTCTTGGAGACTAAATTTACCACATATGGAAAATCAAAAAATTTTAGAAAGTGGCTTTATTTTTAAGTGGAGTTTAGCCAGCTTAATTAATTTTTTTCCTAGTTGGAAGGATTTAATTCCCAAATAAGAATAAAGAGAGAGATCAACATTTGCCTCCCTCACCTCTTTTTAGAGGCTGTTTTTCATTTTTTGCCCCCAGTTTCCAATCATGGTATAAAATGAATTACGGGTATCCCTCCAACTCCCTGTAATCCTTTTTGGGGATCACAGGTACCTTTGATAATCTGACAGAAGTGATGGACCCTCTCCCCAAGGAGGAAAAATATGCACATACATAGATAATTTTGCATACAACCTCAGGGGCATCACACATTTTCTGAAACCTAAGTTAAGGATCTATGTTCCAAGTAAATTGTGTAGAGAAATTTCTAATGTGAATATTTGATAAGATTAGGAACTATTGGCTTAAAACATTTTATATTGCAGTTATTAGATGGTGGCCCCTACTAGCAAAATGTGACATTGCAACCAGCTTTGTTAGATGTTTTAACATCGAGACAGAAAGAAAAAAGAAGCAGAGTTCTGAGAGCTACTTACATAAGGAGTCAGGGCATCTCTAGATATGGGAGCCATTTTTGGTTCAAGGCAGGGGTTAGGGTGCCTGACAACTTCTAGCAGGGTAGAGTTTGATAAACCACAATGCTCAGGATGCCAAGGGGTTAACCATTATCTTAACTCCTTCTTCACCAAAAGATTTTAGTTTTGTCTATTGGGAAACAAGATGTCACTAGGGAAAAAAGATTTGCCTTACAATTGCTGGAACACATCAGTATGGTATGGTGATATATGTATGGGACACTAGTATTATTTTTGAGAAGGTACATAAAAACCAAAGTAAATTATTCTCTATGTAGAACATTATTTACTAGAAATATTTGTTTGGGTAAATTAGCTTTGACCATTTTTACCAGTAAATATTGATTTTATTTGAAACTGGAAATCCAGTTTATAAATAGGATAGTTGATATATCCGTTCTTCCCCCCATGTAAAGGATAAAGATTTATGCATACTTTTTACTTTCTTGATGCCATGGGATTGGGGGGTGGGGGAATCTTTGAGTCAACAACTGACAAAATGTCAAATTTAGTCAAATTTAAAAATCAAGAAGCAGCACTTTAAGTCTAACTCTACACCATTTTAGTGCATGTGTTAGTTTTAATAATGATTTTTGGTGCATGCCTTTGGGCTTATTCAAAAGTGTACAATAGGAAAGTATATTTCCTTTCTTAGAAAGGAGATGTTTTTCTACTTTGCAACATGTGATTACAAAAATCTTCCTCTGTTGGAAGATTAACCATGTATTGAACTACTGAGAAGTATATATTTTTAGATATACAGAAGGAATCTACATGGAGCAGCATTCAGACCTATATAGAAGTCATAGCATTCTGTATAGGACCAAAAAGGAAGTAACATTAAACACTTAAACAGACCTTGTTGGGTAGAAATACCTTAGATCTTGCATTGACTTCCAAAAAGAATATACCACAGAAGTTTGCTGAAAACTTTTGTTGTTTGAATTTTCTCTGTCAGTGTATTTAACCCAAATACAACAGCTTTGGGTTAGCACATCTGTAAGAATCAAAAACAAAACTAAATAGATCAGTCTGGTTTTTCAATCCAGCTTGACTGAAGTAAATACACTAATCACTTGCAACGTGAAAAACTGTCCAACTCCTCTAAGGTTTTGACAAAATAACCTTGGCTGATGTGGGAATTCTCCCACTTTGATTTCCGACCTGACAGTGAAGATTCATGCTTGACATGATTTCAAACCTGACAGTGTCTGTTTAGGGAGCCATGGTACAGTTTGCTAATTCAATCCCAGATACCTGTTGATTACCTGTGAGATCTAGAGTCCAAAGTAGCCAGCAGCCGTATCCCTGAGTGCTCTGTGCCCATCAGATAATGTAAGCAGGGTTGGGACAGATCACAGCTCGGATGATTGACCTCAGGTGCTGTAGACAGCCCCAGATTCAAGAATTGTATCTGCGTTCTTGGGAGTCGTCACTGAACTAATGTCCCACACTGTGTTACTCAACGTAGATGCTCTCTTTTAGTGGAGACCTAGAGCACACATGCAAATTGCTTGTGGTACTCAGAGAGGGGGGTGCTAACTCTGATGCCCTGGCCAAGTTCCAGTTTAGGGATGTGGGTCTTCTTGTCATTCTAATTGGAAATGTGCATCACTTCCCATTTTTCCTGTTAAATCTCAATGCAAACTACACTAGTCTGTTTCTTTGCCCCGGTCCCAAGTCTCTGAAATACTGATGTATATTATATGGGCCAAATTCATGCCTTATCCCAGTGCACAAGGGTTAAGGAATGAGTGAGCTTGGTGTCAGGATGCACTGTGATTGGAGGATGAACTCTTGTGATACTAAGGGAATGAAATAGGCCCTGTTTTAACATAATTTAGGGAATGTGCACTGGCCGGAGGCTTCCAGCCATGAGGTATGAGCTGAAACCAATTTTCCCTCTTTTCTTATAGCATGATGAGGAAATCTGTTGGGTTTTCAGCAGTCAGGGAAGGCCGGAGTTCTGCAGCTTTAATCTGGGTAACTGAGGCTGGTTTGAGCAAGACTTTGGTTAATTAACTAGGTTCTCAGATGCCACAGACTCCGTGAGAAGTCACCATTATTTTCAATGGTTGTGATAGAATTTTTCCCCTAGTAGCCATTATTTTAAGATTATATTGCAGAGTTGCTTTATTTTGAGCTTTTCGTGTGTACACAATCCCAAACTGGAAGAAATTTTTAAAAAGGAATCCTGCTGTGAAAGGTATATATTACTCTAGATTTTTCTTACTGTAAATATTGTAAGATTGTAATACTGTCAATATTTTATTAACCAACAAATGTTAATCTGTGTGAATTCAGACTTATTTTAAATGTGCTTCTTATTTACTGTGTGTGGTCCCTGTTGCTGACAGTATTAAGTTATATTCTGATGTAAGATTAACTTTATTAAAGAATGTAAACATTAATGTTTCCTTATGGGAAAACAAATAAAGTATAAAGAAGACAATTCTTTTCTTTGAAATATACTGTGTATTTACACTTGCTAGACCCAGCACCACTTATAAATTTAGTACACTGTTCAGAATTTTAGTTAACACAGCTGACATGGTTGTGCTCTATTTGAAAGTCTAAGAGTAGGTATTGTTGGAATATAAACAGTTTGTATTTGTCTGCTGTGAATCATCATCTTGAAATTTCTAATCAAGTTTGTAAAATTTTTATAGTAAAACATTTTAATGACAATTTAAAAATTTATCTTCTCTAAAGAATGGTCAAAATAATATTCTTTCAGAAATAGAATTGTTCTTTAATATCTTTCCAAAAATGACTTTGGTTAAATGGACCAGATGTACATTAGTTAAAATTTAGGATGAAGTTGTTGATATTTTTTGAGTTTACAAGTTAATCCTTATTGGAGATGTGCCAATATATAGTAGAATATCATTAATTTGCACTGTTTGGGGACCCCATTCAAGAATGTTGAATTTTGCCAACTAAAAATAAGCAAATGCAATTTAAAAAGTAAATTTGAGCATTCTGTATTAAATATGTGCAGTTATTATCACAAGAAGAAGCGCAGTGTGTTGGGCTGTAATATAACCATATTTGCTGTCATGTTCTCCCATCTCAGTGCTGGGAACTCACCATGTGGAAACCAAGCAAACGTGTTGTGCATCAGCCGGCTTGAGTTTGTTCAATATCAAAGCTGAAACTAGCGAGGTCTGCTGTACTGCTTATTGAAGTATTGTGATTCTTTTAGGCATTGATTCTTACAAAATATATACTGTAACAGTATACTTTGTACAGATTTAAATTTTATTTGAAAAAATGAAATAAAGTAGGCAAAAAATAAAGATGTTTATTTTTCATGTGACTATATAAACAGATCAGTCTTTTGTTTCAGTGCTTTGGGGGGGACTGGGTGGCTCTTTGATTTTTATTTGTAATGAAAATTCTTTAGGACTAGGAAGAAGGTATACTATTTATTACTTGCCCATTATAATCATTAATTGGGTGTGACACTTCTCTTAAGCTGTAAAAAAAAATTATTTTCTATTTTGTTAAAAAAATTGTTTTTCAAAATTTTATGTAATGAGGGCTGGTGAGATGGCAGTGAAATAAGCACTTCCCTGGCAAGCATAAGGACCTGAGTTCAATCCCCGGTACTGCCAAAAAAGAAAAACAAAACAAAATTTTACGTGATGAATAGTTCCCCTGTCTGTCTTCTTGGGTCTGTTTTTTTTTTCTGATGGTACAAGAGTTAGTGAAGCCATCAAAATTGGAGAAGGAAAAATTTTTCCTATAGATCATGTTATTTACTGTGGAAGGTTTTCTGTTTCCTGTTACTTTAAATTTGAAGTTGACTTAGGATAGTAAAAAAGATTACAGGTGAGTCCATCACAAGAGATAGAATCCTGTACAGAAAATAGAAGTTGTGCTTTAGAATAAGAACCTTTGGGCCTGGGATTGTAGCTCAGTGGCAGAGCACTTGTGTAGCATGCTCCAGATCCTGGATTTAATCCCCAAAACCAAAGTGAACAAACAAAAAAACTTTAAAAGTCATGACAAAAGGATGATCTTTCAGGATTTTTTTTGGGGGGAGGTGGTTCTTGAAACAGGGTCTCTTTATATAGTTCAGACTAGCCTTGAACTCACAGTTTAGCCCAGGCCAGCCTCAAACTCATGGTAGTCCTTTTTATCAACCTCCCAAGTACTGAGGTTACAGGGGTGCACCACCACATGTGGTTTTTTCAGTATAGTTTCATTTGAAACTCCTAGAAGAGTAGATTAACTGAAGAGAACTACTTCACATTTTAAGTTCAAAAACCAGCAAAGACCTCAAGTATGTATTTTTCTCAATTGGGAGTAGAGTTTGAAATTGGTTATTTTTGAAATGGGTGTTTTGTAAAGCAGGCTGGCCTTGAACTTCCTATCTAACCCAGGCTATCTCAAATTTCCATTGATTTGCCTACCTCAGCCTCCCAAGTGCAGGGATTACAGGCGTGTACCACCACACCCAGCTGAATTTGATATTTTATTTGTGGCTTGCTCCATTTTATCATTTTTGATGCTTTTACTTACTTTCTTACTAGTTATAAGAAAGGCTGGAATTAAGTAGATATCTAAGGTTCCTGGCAAAAATTATACTGTGGTATATCTTCCAATGTTATTTAAATATACATGATAATCATTATATTCTAAAAACTGATGCATGATTCATAATATTAGATTTTCAGCCTTTCCTAGATGAATCCTAAAAGAATTTGTTATTGTAATTACTGTTTTGTTGGTTTTCTTGCTAAAATAGCCCATTTGTAAAGAACAATAGGATTGGGAATAATTTCCACACCTGACAACTACCAAATCATAAAAACAATGAAGATGGGGCCAGGGAGATAGCTCAGTAGAATAAGTGCCTGCCTGGCAAGCACAAGGTCCTGAGTTCAATCCCTGGTACCTCAAAAAAATAAATAAGGAATTTTACTATCAAAAGTCAAAGCCAACCTGGAGGTGCTGGTACATGCCTTTCATCCTAGCAAAAGGCCCTAGGTTTTATCCCCAGTATTAAATCCAAGGGGCCACTGTTTTTGGAGAGGTGGGTGGAATGCCTAAGAAAGTAGTTTTCCCTTAATTTCTACAGTGCATCTGATTTTAGGATCACAAAAAAGACAGGTAAGTACTTCTTGAAAAAGGCCAGATTCTGCCCTCTCTTCAAGATGGGGTAAGATAAATCCCTGGGTCCCAGTCTGAGAGAAATGTTCTGAAGAACATGAACATGTGGTGAAAACTAGCCAAGATTTGATTCTGGTGAATATATGGGAGTAAAAAGCCAGGGACCAGGCCCATTTGTAACTGTCCTGTGGCCTTAATATTTAAAAGACTCCAAACAGGATCATGATAAATATGTCCAGCGGTCAGTTTGAGAATAAGAGGCCTTGAGGTGAGGCCTTACAGCAGGGCCATAAGGGAACATCCTAGACATGAGATCAGTATGAATTAAAAGCAAAGCTAATAGGGCCATAAGGCTCCTCAAGAAAGGATCCCAGCATAACAAGTTCATGAATGTTGTGTCACTTTGCTTTAGCACTTCCTTTTCTAACATGATATAATTGTCAATATCTTCTTATTCCCACCTTCACTGGATATAAACTTTTATTTGACCATGTGGTATGTAATATATTTTGGCTCTTTTGCATGGTTTTTAGAAATCTCCTTGTTGCTAATAGGACTTCTTGATTTGAGGTACTGGGTTTTGAGAGAATTTCTGCTCATTTAAGATCAGAAGAAAGGATCAGACTTCTAGCTGTTCTCAAGGCCAGCACATACTTCTACCACTCATTTCATGATGTGCTACACTTCTGGAACTTAAGTCAGAGGAACCACATTTTTTTTTCCCCCTGAAAATGGGGATTCCACCTTAATCTTATACATCTCTAGTTTTCTACCAACATAGATTTTCACTAACTCTGATTTATTCATATTAGGCCACTAGATATTTAAATTGGCAGTAAGGAAACAAAATGGATTCATTGAATATTGCAGTGTTTAAAAGAACAGGATATCTCCAGCTTATAGCCAGCAAGGTGATTCAGTTAATCCCCTATCTTTAGCAACCTGTCTCACTCATCCTTCTGGACTTACACCACAGAATTCAGTGAGCCTCCCATGGAGACTGGCAGTGGCACTAAGGATGCCACCATCCTAAATTTTTCTAAACTCATCATTTTTTAAAAAAACATTGAGTGCTTAAAATACTCAAGGCCCAAAGCTGAGTATTTTTGCCTAGGTTATGTCATTTCATTCTTACTGCAACCCTGTGAGATAAGCACTATTATTGCCCCATTTTACAGATGAGAACAATAAGGTACAGAAAAATTTACATACTGAGTGCTCTACAGTAAGAATTCAAAGTCCAGGTAGGCTGATATCAAAGTACATCCATGATCTCAGTTACCCTTACTAGCTGTTTTATAGGGTTCTGCCTCCACATTCCCTAATATGTAATGTCTCCTTTGATGTCTGGTCTGGTCGGGTTGGGTTGGGTTGGGTTGAATTTGGTTTGAAACAGGGTATTGCTATATAGTTCAGCTAGGCCTTATACTCACTAGATAGCCCAGGTTGGCCCTGAACCCATAGCAATCCTGCCTTCCTATCTGGAGTTCTGGGATTATGGATGTGCACTACCACACCCAGACCCTCATGGCATATTTAGCAGGACAGTACAACCAGTGTTGCCTATACAGCAGAGTTCTGCATAGCTCAAAAGCCACATTTCCTGTTCTGGAAGTTGATTCATAAATGAATCCACATTTTCGTTTCTTCCTCCCTTTCATGGGGGAATGACTTCCTCAGAGCAAGTCTCAAGGAAACTATTAAATAGCTTTTTCTACTGCTCTTGCTTAAAGTAAGTGTGGCCCTGAGTACTATTCCTGCCAAAGACCTGAACAAAGTGTTCTATGAATGAGGGTCTTGAACTTTATTTTGCTGAGTTGTCAATTTCCTTCTCCTGTTTCCCAGATACTAGTTCCTTGAGAATACATTTTCTTCCTTACAGCAGATCTTCAGTCTAATATCATGTGGCTTTAGATGTTAGCTCAACAACAGGGGTCAGGAAGAGGCAGACTCTAGTAGGAGAGAAGCTGGGTGCTTTCAGATTCTCTAAACCTCCTTATTCACCAACAGTTGGCCCACTAATTGGATCAGCTAAAATCAGTTTTGTCATTTCCAGCTGAGTTTTTCTTGGGCTTTTAAATTTTTGGAGGCATTTTTCTGTGCCCTCTAAAATACTATTTTGCAGATGTTTCATGACCTTCAAGGAAAGGTCTAGAGTCTTATTCCAAATGCTTCTTCCAAAACTAAAATCTCAAATTTCTTGGGATTTAGGGGTGCTTTAGAAGGCTGTGACATCTGTTAGAAGAACTCTTTTCTGGAAAGGGATGATCATAATTTGAATTTGAAACCTTTCATGATTTTTTTGTATCCTCTAAAGCATGGTTCTAAAAGTGTGGACCCTTAACCAAGAGTAGTAGCTTTCCCCTGGAAATTGTTGGAAGTACACCTTCTTGAACCCTACCCCAGATCTACCTACCTAATCAGAACTCTGAGTCTGGGGCTTGGCAATCCCTATTGTAACAAGTCTTCCAGGTAATTCTGATGTTGATGAAGTGTGAGACCCACTAAAGTTCTTTAATTTTAAATTCTAGAGTCTTAGGTTTGAAATTGTGACAAAAACAAGGCTTTCTCAGCTGTTTCACAGACCTCTAGCCCCAAGGTTAAAAATTCCTAGTCTAGAACTTAGCTTGTCTGTCCCTTTCTGGCTTCTACTTGCTCTTAACACCACTACAAGAACAGTGTTCACATACTCTTGTCCTTCATCCATGTACTGCCAGGGTGTCACTGAGGGTGTGCATCCCATGCCAGCAGGCCCAGAAATAAGGGCTTTCTGTTCCCTGTGTATGCTATAACTATAAAATAAACAAAATCCAAATGATCATGGATGAGCCACCAGGCCAGAGGTCTGGCTCCATATAGAAAGTTGACTTCTCTTGGAGTTAGGAGCTGTTGTCTGAAGCAGACTGCCTTAGCAAAACTGCTAAAACCTGTTGAGCTGCCTATGACAGTGCCAGTTCAGGGTGAGTAGACTGCAGCTAGCTTTGTCAGTGACAACTCTTGGGGTGTCCCAAAAGAGGAGCTCCCAGGTCAGGGCCCAGCCCTTGATTCCCTACCTATAAGCATCTCCTTTTATCTTCATAAAGTGTTTTCACCTGAGCAGCCAGTGAGTAAGACTTAGCTTTGGGGTTGGTACTCAGCTTTTCCTCTGCAGTCATTCTTGAGCCAAGACTTGAACTGTCATGCAGAGCAGCCTTATTGAGAAAA